CCGTCGACTCAATCACAGGCATACAGCAGATAAGCATGCTTTACAAGATTTGAATCTTCGCCAATCTTGAATACGCCATCGCCAGGAGCTCAAAATGTTTTAGCGATCTCGACCAACTCAACATCTAGCTTTCAGGAATTCCGAAACTTGCTTGTTTCGTTAAGCATATTGTCAGTTACGGACAGACCCTTCGCAATATATACCATTGGAGTTAAGGAAAACGTTATGTAAAACCATGCACATCACATAAGAATTGTTTTTCCAATTTATTTATTACATTGTACATAACTAGAATGAATTTTTATTATTACACACTTAAGTAAGACATGAACCATTGTAGAATGCAATAAAAATCTCAAAGATTAATACAAACCTCCTAACTCCTCATTAATATGGTATATACTCCTCTGAGAAAAGTTGTTCAACACCCAATCTTTAAAATGGACAATATCTTAAACAGGAATACTGAAGTCCGTAAGGATTTCATTTTTTCTGCTTTTCCTAAATCCTTCAAGATGAATACAGGAGTCACTCCCTAAAGCCACAAGAACTCATTAGTCAAATCCTATTGTTCTTATTTTGATTACTGCAATGTTGTCAATATTGGATTGGGGGAAGATCACTTATTATACATTTGTACACCTTTCTGTAGATATATTAAGAGTCAACTGCCAATCGCATTAACTTGAATAATATTTCAGGCAATTAACTTAATTCACAACCACCTCAACATTGATCATAAAATTAATTAAGAAAGAAAATCACTTAAATATGATGGAAAATCAAGACTACAAACAACTTAAATTATGATTGATTCTGAATATATTTTTGTTGGTTCTTAGTAATCAGTTCAAACAGACTGGTAATAGGTTTTACTCAGGACAATATGTGTATGAAGTTATGTACTTGTAGTATATACTCTAACAATTATCTCTGCTAACTGCCAAACATGTTTTTATGTATATGTCCTTAAAATTATTTGAATCAATGCTATCATGATAATATTATCAATAAACCTGGAATTTCACCAAAAAATTACAGGATCTATACTATAATTCTGTTCAATTCATATATTTTATTTTAATAAAGAACAATATTTTATAAAACTTTTGTACTTCATTTGAATAAGCCCCTTCAGTCATAACAGTTCTCAAGTACATGCATTGCTATTGGATTTCAATGTAGAAAATTAATGTCATGCATTGACAGCAAACAATATTTTTCTGATGAGGAAAAGAAGACAAAGAAATGACATGCCCAGTTGTGAAATCTTTAGGAAAATTAATAAAGGAACTGGTAGGTATATTAGCAATACAATAGATTCTCTGAAATCATTAATAATAAAACATTCAAAGCATATCTACAGAGTCAGTTTAAAGCTACAATACACCTAATGTGAAGCATTTGAACATAAAGCCAATTATGTGCAAATGTAGTGGAAACATTTAAGTAAATAACTGGCTTGTAGTACCACTGAATGAATATCTGATTTATAGTATCACTGGCAAATAAAAAATGTCAATAAAATTGACAAAATAGTGACTCCCTAAAAGTATAGTTTATTTCTAATTTTAGTATATTACTATTCATTTGTATGATATAAATTTCAGCTTTTCATGTCTCCTGTTGTTCTAGAAACTGATAATTTGCATGAAGACCACAACAGTGGTAGATAGAGTAATAAAGTTTCTCCACTTGAATCCAAAGAGAACGAAAGTATTTCAATGATAAAAATAATAGCTGTTTACTGCAATTATATCCAACCTACGACACTGAGAAAAGGAAATAACTCTCAAATCATCGCAACTTGATCGAGAACCCCATTGTGGATAAGTGATTAAGTAAAGAACTTTATACAGTAAATTTTCTTTCTTGTCCTTGCAGTCAATGGAGCTAGTTTTATGGAAGGGGGAAAAAAAAGAAAGAGAAACCTCGCTGATCAGTTAATATTCATTCTATTTTTAAGGTTAAAAAGGGCTTTTTCTCTTACAAAAAAATAAAATAAATAAATAAATAAAGGAAAATGGGTGACAATCTGATATTTGTGGCCAATGAATTTTAAACAGGTAAATTTGGTACTAACCACTTGTCAGTTCACAAACTCTGAAATTGCAAAGATTTATAAAATAGAACTATTAAAAAATTCATTGAAGTTTTAATGCTGTTTTGTAAGGTTTGAAACTCGAAAAAATTCAAAATTGGATTCTTCTAAAAAATACAATTCAAATAAATTTATTACAACTACGTGTTTAGAAATCAGTGGCTCTTACCTTCATGACTGCCATGTTTTACTGTAATCCAAGATGAAACAACTAGTCATTTAAAAAAATAGGCAAAATAGAAATTAGGAAATGAACATCATTTCATATTGACAATACAGGATTACCCAGCAAAAATTCATTAATAGATATTAAGACAATTCCATATTTCATTAAAAGATCTCTGTAATCTTCCTTGGATTTTGCTATTTTTGCACAAAATCCGATTTAAATGACTACTGTGAAAGTTACTAAGAAGTGTTTCTTGATCTTCAACAAATCTTCGAATTCAAGAGGTAATTTTCTTTGATATTATAAATATGCGGCTTTGAACGATTAAGTAAAATAAGAATTTTGAAACTGAACATTTTTTTTAAAAAGTGGTTTAAGTAAGTATTTCAAATAAAATGATATGTTATTTATTTGAAATTACAAAATCCAATGTTTTGTGCCATGTTTTACAATTATCCAATTACTTGGATTATCCAACATTGAATCATTTAGAGACCACTGTTTTGCCCTCACATTTTTAGTGCTGATTTTTTTATTAATTTCTAAATATATTAATAATAGATTTTAGAGATGAGTGTCTAAGATGCATAAAAATCTGTCCATATTTTGACAATTAATTTCTAAATATATTAATAATAGATTTGAGAGATGAGTGTCTAAGATGCATAATATCTGTCTTTATTTGCAAGATGCAGAAGCCAGAGAAAATATTTTGGTTAAATAATGACTGATCAGCAGAGGGAAGTTTACAAGCCATTATGAAAGTTTGTGGGAAATAACTGTCAAACGGGTTCTCCACTTCTGACTCCATTTCAAAAACAAAATTAATTTTAATCCATGACAGAGGAACTGACCAAGTGCTAGGCTTGACGACTGAAATTGCTCACTGAACAAACGTCACAATCAGATCAACTAGCTGAAAGTAATCCAAAAGGTGTCGATGAATATGAAAATGAGATGAAATAGTAGATGAAGGCAAAAGGAAAGGATATTGATAAGGAAATTGAGATGAAGATAATGAGGAATTAAGGCAAACAGAAGATTAAAATGATGAGAATGATAAAGGAGCAGTAAGACATTTGTTAAAACACACTGTTCCATGCATTTGACCAGACCCATTACCACCTTCACAATCACCACCCCCACCCATTGGTGGAGCATCTTGTGAAGAATTGGAGCCGTCATGACTTGTTATCTCTATGTACAGGAGAGGCTTGTAAGGGCGATAAAAGTGAATCAGCTCGCATTTAACAATTTCAACTTCTCAGGACAATGGTGGTGTCAAATTACTAAAATGGCTAAACTTTTACTCAAAAGGCTTGGGGCAGCTGCTTACAGACATAGCTGAAGGTTGAGAAAAAACAGGATCATCAAGAAAATAAACAGTGGACCTCAAGGATGTTGGCATGAGATAATAGATATTACATTATGGTCTTATGTTCTACTGAATTATTGTAATGAGCATCGATTCGAACACTTTTTAAGTTGTAGGTAGACGTGTGAATTGCTGCCGTCAGTCCCTCGCCGTTCGAAATAGGCGGCATAAATGACGAAGACAATCGGTCCCAACGAACACCTACAGCGCATCGGAACTGGATTCTCTTTCTCGCGAGCAGGCAAGGAAAAGTACGAAGGACAATATATCTTCTTAGAAATTCGATAAATTTTTAACACAGTAGCGCATTTCACTGACCTTAGCGCCCGGACGTAAAATGAAACGTGCGAGCAGGCTCATTTTGGCGAGTTCAGCGAAGACCGACAAAACCGATTGGACTGCTAATATTTGGGTAAAGAGCTTGTATGAGATGGAGGAAGAGAGATCTGGTTAGAATTTTTGGGTGTAATCTACGTTAGCAGGTTTGGAGGTTCCATTTCAGTTCAATTCCTGAGTCTTAAGTTCAACCACTTACAAACTGTGCCCGTGATGTTTACATTTAAAGTATTTGGAAAATGCAGTACTTGAGGATATCTGGTGCCGCAGTATGGAAGAAAAAAGCTGTTCACCAGCAGATTCTTTACTATTTATAATATCAAATAAACATTGAGCCCAAATGAAATTTAATTTTTGCTAGTTAAAAAACTTTGCCACCTTCATTTAAAACATACGTTTTTCTTTGTGAGCTAGTAAGAGAGGTTGACAACTTTTCTTCTCTGATGCGATATAATACCTTTTATTAAAGATGTCCCCACATAAAAAAATCTCATTTCTTTATTTCAATCTCTCACAAAATATTATTTTTTTATATACGTAGAAAACAATTGGATTCCTTGTAGGCACAGTGTTGCAGATACAGAGCAGAGAAAACTGAATTGTAGTTCCACGTTTCGGAACCGTTCGTGAAATGTGATATGGTAAAATTAACAGCAAAATGTTCATGCAGAGCTGGGTGTTGCTAATTAGGATTGCTCGCGCGAACAAATAAGGCGGTGGTGATGCATGCTAAGCCTCCCTAAATACACAAGTGATTTGGGAAATTACATTTGATTACATGAAAATAATACATATTGCAAATAATTTCTACACGTCTTGACTTACTACTATTTTTATCACAATGTCGTTAAATCTAAAATGTGTATTTCTGAACACGACTTTAAGGATAGGCCCCTTCATATTTCTGCAGTTCATTGTAGGACCGTTTCTCATACATAAACATTGATTATTAAATCTACTTTATAAACAACATGCAAACTCGTAACAAGGATTTACGTAAAGTTAAGGCAGTTACACACCTCCATAATGGGACTTGAAGCCAAAACTTTCTTCTCAACTTGCGTTTCTGTAGCTGAACCACCAACAGTGGCGAAGTAGCGCATTGCATATTTGGCAGACACAGTTTTCCCAGCTCCAGATTCTCCAGACACGATAATACTCTGGTCTCTCTGCTCTCTGACAGGAAAGTGCAAAAGACAGCCATCAATAAGCATTTTATAACATTTTACTACAAAAAAAAGTACAAATCCAAGTTTTTACTTTCTCCCCTAGTATGATGTTTTATGGGAAGACCGTATATAAAATGGGATTTGGAGAGATTGTACACCAAACGATTGACAGGGAATAATGTGGCTATCGGACGATTAATTAAATTAATGGGAGAAAAGAAAAATAAACAATGGCTTAGATGTATGGAAGTAGAGACGGGGGCAACGAAGGGAACAAGCAGGTAGGCAAGAAAGTGAGGAGGGAGAAAGCAAAGAAGGTAGACCAGGTTGAACGACGGAACGAAAGAGAAATGGAAACAAAGAAGGGAGGATTTAATATAAGATTTGCTATTATGTTAACAAATCTCACTCCCCATACTATTTAATGTATTGCCAACGTTTTGAGAGGAGAAGCAAATACTCCATGATCTTCATACCTCTCTAGTTTTGTGTAAGCCTCTTCAGCAACAGCAAAAATGTGTGGATCCAAATCGCCCATCGCTTGCCCACGATAGGCAAAAATGGTGTCCGTACTGTATATAGGTAGCTCACTGTACGGGTTGATGGCGACTAGGACGATTCCTGCAAAAGAACATTTATTACAGGAACATACGTAGACTGGTACACAATATTTTTATGGGGGACAGTTAACTGTTAACCTAACTGTTAGACGAGAACAAAACCTTGGTCACCCCCACTCTCCAGCCTCCTAACACCCGTGCGCGCTGAAGAAATACGAAAAACGCATTGGTACTTTTATTATGCCAATGGCTTTATTCTACACGCAACTGATGAAATGGATTGTCTGATAATTCCGAGTTTTGACAACACAGTGTGAAATATGGAAACATTTTTTATATTAATTGCATGAATCTTTAGCAGTTCGCTCAGGCAAAGCACACTCATAAAAATGGCGAGGTCCATTTTCAGTGATCTCTCAATACTCGAAATTTGCAGAAGTTTGAAATTTGTTCATTTCCCTTCAACTACACGTTTTAAGATATATTTTCCTTAATGAAATATTTTTCCCAATATTATATCTTTAAATATTATTTGCATTACATAAAATAAGTGTGGTTTTCGCTTAATTTTCAGTGAAATCAAGTTATTTCAAAAAATACCTAAAGATTTTCTCGATAAAGACAGCAAATCTTTTCGTTGTTTTTTCTTCTTCTCAAACTGAGTAAAGTTTACCTCATTTTTAACATATCCTACACCTTAATATTTCTGTGTATTAAATCTTTATATTTTTGAAATTTTATATATTTAATTTAATTATATAATTTATTAATTTTATGTATTCTGTGAAAATATTTGTAATTTTGTAATGTTTCAGGCATCCCCCCCATTTTTTTATGTGTCAGCGGGCTACCTACGTGTGCAAACTTTTTTTTTTAAATGTAATTTATGTGTGTCCCACTTTGCTGTGTTAAAAATTCATCAGAATTCAGTAGAAATACAAGTTTTTTTTAATTAAGTATCGACCTTAAGTAAAAATTTGCATTTTAAAAATTAAATATTTTAAATATTTAAATAATAAGTTTACAAAAATTATATTTACATCACATGAAAGTACATCTTTTTAAGTTTAATTAAAAGATGTACGTACAATAACAAATTAAGTGAAATTTAATTTTTCTGTATAAAACGGTATTTGCGCAATTTTTTTTTAACATTAGCGCGTGAATGATTATTCGGAAAAAGTAAATGGTAATATTTGTGAAAAGGTGGGATTAGAAGGAAAAAAACTAGACCATATTACATTTCTTAAAAACTTTTTGAATGAATAGAGCAGAATACATGCAATTCAATGACAGATGGCAATTTTCATTTAAAATTTTGATACTGCCGTAAGTGTAGTAGTATTCCATGCTTTAAAGAGAATGACGCGACTTTCGAATTAATACGAGCCGTTTTGGACGAATGTATTACGAAATTATATTAAAAAATTAACATTTTTTTTCTGATCATTTCATGAATGTCTCCTCTAGGCTCAAAAGTTAGAAGAGGGGTATTCCAAAATATATACCAAATACAACTCGAGTGAATGATATTACATTGTTGCCTGGCTAAGGCACGAGGTAAAGCGGTTTTAGACGCCGCTGTGTAAGATAAACATATTTGGGATTTAAAAGTATTAAATGTGTGATTTGGAATGTTCGAGTGATGGCTGAAGTGTCATAGTATAGATGGTGCAATACAATAATATTACTGACCGTTATTAATAATAGAAGGAACGTGCTGTTTTTTCTTAGGATCAATCTTATAAGCATTTTGCTTTATTTTCTTTGGGTACTTTTTATGAATCTTATTCAGCTAGACACTTTCAAAACAATTAATAAAATACGAATATCAAATAAAACAGAAACACCGTGCGCCCTTCCGTGATAATTCACCGTTAACACGCCACTGGTTTAAAATGAGTGGATTTGACGTTACACTCATTTTAATACTGCTGGATTCGTATTTCGAAATGGAAATTCTCACAACTCATCGGATTTTCACCGTACGTGCAAATTATTCACTGATACATTATACAAATAAATAAAGAATTTTTCTTCGAAATTCGGAGTACATTGAAAGTTTCTGCACATTCTTTGGTTTCTGTTGTACGTTCGACAGAATATATAACCATTTGACAGATGAGGTCAACCAATCATTGTGAACAAAACAACCAGAAACACAATTCCCTCACAATCTTACAAACACATTACTGAATCACACGAAATTAATTTTAAAAAAAATTAATTTAATACACACATGCACAAAACATACCACAATACGTGTAGATCGAATTGTGCCGTTCAAAACGAACTCGCAGGTTATGCAAGACAGCAGGTTCATGGAGATATGACAAGGAAGTAAGATCATTCCATCCGATTAGTATATCAGGGTTTCGCAGCGGAGGTAGCTTGTCGTCGGATGTTATGGTGAGTTCTTTAACCTGAAACCAATAAGACATGTACATGCATTCGATTTGATTTATTTAGTCAAAAACGGTAGAAACTGTATGTGACGTATGGGGGAGAAAATCAACTGCGCACATTTCTTGGGTTCCAGAACCCCTTCCCAGCATTTGAACATTTTTTTGTTTTTTAGCAACATTTGTAGAAAACTACACATTTTCGTTGTCGAGTTATAGAAAACTTATTTGCAACGGCAAATGAACACAAGATTTGATAGATTTATTATTTCCGCAGTAGGTTTATACAACCTGGTGGCAGAACATTACAATTAACATTCTACAATTAGGAATATTAATACAATGTAATTTTAAATAATTTTAAGACAATAATAATAATAGTAATGATAATATGATAACAATAATAGCATAAACTCAACATTTAATGACTGTACTGCACAGATGCCTCTGTATTGCCCACAAAATAGCAATAAACCCCATATTATATATATATATATATATATCTATATATATATTATAAATATATATATATATATATACATATGCAAAATAGCAATAAACTCGTACCATACAACAAGCAAAAGGAGAGTTCAACAAAACGCACATAGTGAAGTTACATTCAAAATAAATTGGTACTTTAAAACACTTTATAACAGAACCGAATACAGTTCTGAAAAGAGAGTAACAGTATAGATAGCTTATTAGGTAATGTGTAAGACACAGATTTTTTACTTTCTCGCACTTACTTCGTAAGAAGAGAAAGTATTGTAATCGAGCCTCGAAAAACGTCGAATTTTCGACAGAAAAACGCCTATTGCCGGGTCATTGTAATTACTTCCACTAACACGTTGTGTAATAAGAATACATGTGTTGTGGGACCCTGATACCGAAAAAGCGTCCGTCCGTCCGTCCACCCGTTTTGATTAGACACTTCCTTCTAATAGTGAAAAGGAAGGTTTAAATAATAGCACAGGTCCCGTTTTCTTTGAAATATCTGAATTTTCGGAAATTGGAAAAGATCAAAATATTTTCCACCTCTTCCTACACCTACAAGATTGAAGATGGCGATTTGGCCTAAATGACATTTTTTCCAACCTGCAAAAATTTTCTTTCCGTGCTGCGATTCTACCTCAAGTCCTTGGAGTTAACACGCACTGTCACGTTACTCCTAAACTACCCATTCAGAATTTTTTTTAAATCCAGCGATTTCCTTTTCAATATAGTTTTCGCGTAATTGTTGCTTGGAGTTAATGCAATTTATATCCCCCCGCCAAAAAAAGGCTCCATATTTTTTTTTCTCGCGAAGAACGTAAAACGATTTGAAACACGCAGACATATTAACTCCAAGGAGCTGAGATTGAATTCCAGCGAAGAGAAAATTTTGCAGGTTTAAATTACTTCTGCACGTTCATGTATATTATATTACTGCGTAGCCGTTATAAATAATGCGGGAAAGTTGTGTTGTTGTAGGAGAACTACTTTCGATTTCACGGACTCTCAAAACATGGATTTGACGACAATGCGTTAGAGGAAGTCATTTACTAAACATTATGTTCAGATGCCCCCGTTATAAAAAAAACTCCAGATTCTATGTTGCCATTCATAAAGAATGGCAGATCCAATTTTCCCGAAAAAAAGAAAAAGAAAAAAATAACTTCGATAAAATTTAATTTCAAAAGTTTCTGCCGTTCGCAAAATTCAAACTGCTGCAGCGTGTCACCCGCGGTGGCTGCAAACTGGGCTGTGCATATCGTCGTTTCTTTGCTTTTCGGTGAAACTGTCGACTGAAGCAATCTTTGTTTGCCGCACACTTTACTTTAATAGCATTACGTATCTTGTGTACTATTAATTTAATCTATTTTAGCAAAAGCTGAATATGAACCAAGCCCAATGGAAATTGACAACATTCCTACAAAGCTCGAATTATGTTTTGCATGTCTTCGGTGTGAACTGTCTTGTGCTTAGAAAGACACATACGATAATTGAGAGTCCCCTTTCTTTCATTAATATCATGACATATGTAAACAACTTTTGCAGTTAAAATATTGATGTATTAAAATCGTTATGCTGCAATATTGGCACAACCCGAGAAATGAAGTTTGGAAATAAACGCATTAAAGTTTAAAGTGGTGGTTAAATTACAAGTGTCACACGCTCAGTAACTGTTGAATTAAGGAGTAAGCATTACTAAAAGGCTTCATAGCAGTTCTGTTAATAAAAACAATTATAAACATCAATTATGGAAATTGTCTGTACTGTCACAAATTGTGTGTGTGAGTGTGCAGGTGTGTTTTAAATAACCGGTGTTTAAGATTTTTTTTAAAAAATCTATTCAATGATACCAAACATGACTCCCTGGGGGTGGGGCGAGGGCAACTTCGAAATGTTTAATGGAAACCCCCAATTTTGTTATTGCAGATTCGGACTCTCCATTAAAAAAGTAAGTTGAATCTGATTTTTTTTATTCGCGATAGATCGAATCTGAAATAAAAAATGGGAGTTTCAATTTAACATTTCGAAGGTGCCCCCATCCACACCCTCCAGTGGGTGAGGTTGTGTGATCATGTTTGGAATCATTGCATAGATTTTTGAAAATTATTAAATACGTTTTCTTTTCGCTCTCAAGTGATTTTCCTAATATATTTGTCCGTTGCAGGGCTTTTAGTCCACCTGTATATATTATATAGTGTTATTTTATAATTGTTATTATATATGGTTATATTTTAAAATTAGGGTTATTGGTGTTTTTAGAGTTATGCTAGTTTTGCAGCCCACGAAGGAAATATTAAGTTAACTGATTATTTCTAGGCTTGCAGTTCGAATTGTCGCTTCCGCGTGTTTCATTCTGGGAAGCGCTAGCTAAGATAACTCGATAAATGATTGTTCACGAATTGACACGTAGGTTTTCTCCCTCTCGGATATAATTGCTCGCCATGAAGGTTACCTCAAAAAAATATTTGGGGAAGCAGTGAGTAATGAGCTTCCATAAAACAACCTTGCAAAATAAGTTGTTGATTAGGGATAATCCTGTGAGCTGATATGACGAACTTTCTGCTTCCGTTAGGAATGCACTTTGATAGGGGCTGCTTTTGCAAGACACGCTACACGATGCTCCACGTCGCGACAATGACCTCCAGTACCTCGCATCGAGTTCTCGCCGACGAATGTGTAGTCTGCTCGTCGTTTTCATGTTCCGTAGGCGAAGTAAACGTATGCCACTTTGCCGAAGTCTTGAGATAATTCGTGAAATCATTTCTGAACGAACGTTTCTCTTGCGTTGCGGATAGCAGCTATTACTGTGTACACAGCCAACTTTGAAGTTGACGCCCGCTCACGAGTCGACAAGCGCTCTATGGGCCGGTTTCACCAAACGGAATCGTGAAGATATCCCGAGTTGATCAGGATCAACTTCAGTTTGATCCCGCTGTACGTTTCTCCAGAAAATGTGTTTTTTAAGATAGTATTGTAAATAAAAGTAGGGTTAACCCAATTGTAGGTTAGAATTCTCGGTATTGGGAAGTAAAATTTAAATATATTTTGGCTTCAAATTAGTGTAATTATAAGTATCATTAGTAAAATAGCATTTTGTTAGTTGTAGTTTATTGCAGGCGCTATTATTCCGCACTTCTGATTTTTGTGATATCTGTATTGCAATTGGTGTGGGATAGTTTTATTGAATCCTTTTTTTAGTGTAGTAATACTTCGAATTTTTGTTTTGTTAGGTTAATTTGTGTCGTAAAAATGGAGTTTCATTTTCGAATGAAGTCATTGAAGATTTATTGTGGGAAGAGAGACCACGAGTAATTCCCAAAAGAAGCGATTATTTTGAAATGTCAGAACGAGCATTAAAACTTTCTTTGCATTTGCTCATTAAGCTTTCGAGTAATTCTCTTTCAACTGGAGAGAAGTTGGGCGTCGTCTATTGTGACGTCATGGATACTCACAGCGACCACAGACACAGAGCTTTCGTATAACAAATATATTTATTAACAAGAAAACAAAACAAATATATACACTTAATAATCTACTTACACCCTAGCTCTGATAGACCTACTATCCCCTGATCGCGGGAGCGATCCAAAACCCGATTGAAGATGGTTTTGATTGTGGCATTCGCCACTCCTACTTTTGAAGCGCGCACAAAGCCTAGCTTCCGTGACCGGATGTCACGCTGGGACACAAAGTCCGTTCTGGCGCACCAACGACTGGTTTGCCTCGATCGCAGGAGCGATCTTATCCGATTGAGAATCGGCGTGAATCGTGGCACTCAACCACTCTTCACCTCGGAGCACGCACACAGCATCGCTCCCCCGTGACCGCAGTCACCCAAGGACATAAAGTCCGCAGGCTTCGTCAACTAATGACTCCAGCCTCGCGAGCCTGGCTCGCATAT